CGGCCGCAACTATTATGGTTGGGATTGTCTCTTACTAACGTTCATCTACCCGGGTTTTGATTGTGGCTCACTTGTCCATGGGAACCCCGGACTTTTCGAGTTCATGGGGTCTGAAGGGGAGGGAGGGGAGGAGGAAATAGCAATAGCAAAAAAAATAGCCCACTGATATTGGCTTTAAAAGGAGGGAACACCTTCTTATTGTATAATTTGGGGCTCAGGATTTTTAATCTGGAGTCGACACTACATCCCTACATCCTCAGGTACTAAGGGGCGCTTACAGTAACAATTAGAGATTCCTGGAAGCTGCCTCAAGCCACACCTTTGTAGGATTAGTTCGGGAAAGCCAGATTCTTTTTCAGAAGGTTTCAGAGGCGATTTGGTGACACCAAAGACCAGCCGTTGGTGAACTGAACTATTCAGCTGACTGGCTAGAATCAGTTTTGACACTTTTTGGACCTGTACTAAGATGAAGGCATCTATCAACAACAAGTTTTTAAGGTGCGGTAGGCTGTCAAGAAAGCGAACGGAAAACTGAGAAGAGGTCGAAAAGCGCGGGAACTCCAAGTGGCCCATTTGGGTGAATAAGACTTGGTTGCTGTTGACCCCCCTGCAAAAAGTTTAACTTTTTTTGGGTTTAGTGGAAAACCCCTTTATTTCCCAAAAAGTTAAAGTCTAAAGATCCAGCTCAATAGCAGTCAAGAAGATTTCACCCTGAAACTAAGGCCCCAACAAACAACGTACACGGGAGAGGTCAAAGAAGCCTTCGGGCGGCGAGGCCGCCAAAGTTTGTTAGGATTTGGCCCCAAACTGTTTTTGGCTCACAAGCAAGTTGGACTCTGCGTGTTCTGTTGGTTCCTCGTTTTTCACACAGCCATACAGGGGCTGCCTGATGAACATCGCAAACTCCCAGAGTCGAAGGAAAGAAGGCCACCTGTTCAACCCTCTCTGGCCAGCAAAGGCTGAAGAGACTGGCGGACGAGTGTGTCACTGATATACCCTGACACCGCCTAAAGGATATGGACCCCCTTCATCCGAAACCTGGCAACGATTCTGAAACAACAAGCCACATGAGGGGGTCCTTGCCATGTCCACGCCTGCACATTCAAGAGTTCCGCTGCTGGTGGCACATGGGGGTGGTCAACCTAACCTCAAAGACCTTCAAGTGGTCCTTCCACCTGCCTTCCACTGCAGCGGACCAACATGAAAAAACCGGAATCTGCCGACTCCAGGACTTTGGAAATGGGTGTCGTGTGCCTGCAGGGCTGACGGTCCGCCGAAAATTCGCTGCAGGAATTGGCCAGCCAACACCTCAACAGCGGGTGTGCCGCGTGCCAAGAGGTGCTAGGGCAAGGGGCCCCCTGCAGGAAGTACAAAACATATTCATCTCCTTCTGGTTTCCTTTGGGAATATCAAATGGCATTGACTGGGGACTGCAGGAACTAGACACAAAGCATCCACCTTTGGTCTGATGCTTGGGATTTCCGTTTGGTTTCCCCGGGTACCAGCTCCAATGTCCACAAAGCAAACCCATGTACTGTCTTGTGGTACCTCGGCGATGCATAGCGATGGCAACTGAGGCGGCAAATGCAGATCCCGTCCTGCGCAAATTGCTGCACCTGCGGCGATTCGTCACATGAGGTAGGATAAATCGAGGTAAATCAATATAGTAAGTGCCTAAACAAGGGTTTGTCTCAAAATATGATATGGAACTCCAACTTGGGTCGCTTCCTGTTGGATTACATTTCAAATCATCCAAAAACGGATGCCCTCAAAAAGACACACCCATAATCAGAATCGGGTTACGGGGTAGGTGAACAAAACCACATTTTATTAATGATGTGATTGCCCCTTGTATTACTCAGAGGAAGCTGAGTTCATCGCTATAGGTGAATTTATGAGTTGTTGTCCTGCAATTCGCAGACCTGACATGATGTACCCCATGCAAGAAGGGAACCTTCATCATGAAAGAGAGGCCGCAAAACAAGTCGCGTCATGAGGTCGTAAGTTGCCCAGAATGGTTGTTTCTCCTGGTTTCCTACAACCAACTTTAGTCGGTTGGCTGTCGCACATAATTTTCAATCGGTCATTTCCCGGTAGGGCAATGGGTGACTGTCGTCGGTCCACAAAAGACCAACTACCAACCCTCAGAAGAGGGACTAAAATACGGGTCCATATTCCAAGGACCCTGCCACACGGATTAAATCTGGCAATGTGCGGCGGTCTCAAGAATTCACCTTGTCCACATGAGGAATCGATCGCCTCGTTAGTTTCAGACCAAGAAATTGGGTAAAAGCTTACTTTGGTATGCTGGGTATGTCACAACATGGGGAAGCCTCTGGTGTGCTGAAATGTGCATTAAACGTAATGCTGATGATACGTCTTGCCCACGAGCTGTGTCCTCTCTTTAGATGCGCGGATCAGAACAGTGCCAGTGTAGAACATGAGTACGTGGGCCCACTTCGATGCGCACTGCTGACTCAGACCTGAAGGTCGTGGCTTGGGGCAACCTAACACTTCGACCTGCAAGAATTCCCAGGTACCACGCAACATGCTCATGGCATAAAGAAGCACGGTGCACTGCCTGCCCTACTGCCATCCATATCCAACGGAGCTTTCTCCCAAGAGCTTCCAATCCACAAGACCTCAGCCTGTTCCAAATGTCACAACTTCCGCGGGGCCTCACTGGGGAAAATACGGAAAAATCCCTTCTCTTAGCATGAATGGGCAGGGAACGCTGGGTTCCAGCCACATTTTTCCAGCCTCCTTTTGGGGCAATTAAATCATGTGGGGTACTTGGCACGGGCTTTCTTATGTGCCCCCTCAAAGACTCAAACTCAGGAGACATGTTTCAAAATGGTCGACCAGGAGCCAACAAACAAAATGTTGGAAACTTTGCTCTACCCCCCAAAAGGTCTAGAGCCATTTGTAGGTGTAATGAACAAGGCATTTGCTTCCAGAAGGTCTAAGATCAAAATCCAGCCATTTGGGGGTTGTGCAAAATTACTTCTCCAGAAAACTGCCCTTCCGCCGCCCTTCCGCAAACCTTCCGCGCCCATTGCAAATCTACACACAAGGGATCACTGGTTTCGATCAATGTTCTCGGTTGCTGTCCCTTCCGCCGCCCTCCCCCTCTCTTCCCTCCACAGTCACACAGTGGGAAGCTCATGTCGCGTAACATTCGGAATACTAAACCGAATACATGGGTTTTAGAACGCAGCCCATTTGACTGCCATCTACCCGGCTGGCCCAAACCGTGCCTCGTTGTCTAGCCTACTCGGCTCTGAGATCTTGCTGGCGATCCGCACAACTTTGGTCGATTCGCCTGGCGAAGGACGCTGGGGACACGGGGTTCACAAATGTTTTTTTTGATGGTAGTCTTTCTGGAGGGGTTTTAAAGGGGAACAAAAGGAAAACCACCCATTCTCAGGGACCACCCTCCAAATATGGCTTAAAGGGGGTTTCCCACCCCCCAACGAAAGTTTGAGGAGCCTCAAGATGCGACCACTTTGAGGAAACCAGTCATCTTGCGTTTTCACTCACAGAGCCCAAAACAACATGGGCTGCTTGGAATGCAGCATGGGACATCAATTGAGAACGGGGAGATATGTCCAGACATTGAATTTCGCCATTTGCAAGGGCTTTGTCTGACCATAGGAATCCGCCCTTTGCAAATCCCCACGTTGCAGGATCAACTGCCACGACAGAAATGCTTGCAAAAAGCCCCGGCTTCAGTTGAACACGTAAAGCTGCAAGGTTTCCCCCAAACAAAGGCTTGGCGCAGTGACAGGGCATGTAAGCATCCGGCCGCTTCTTGCAGGCTTAGAGTCTTGGGCTGGAGAGGCCAGGCTCAACTTAGCTCCAAGCCTACAAACCTAGAAGATTACAGGGCGACCATTTGGGGCCATGCCTCAAATGGATGAAAAAGGGGGACACGAAAAGTTCAACCGCTCGGCTTTTTGAATGTGGCTGGGGACGTGTCATTCATGTCGCGTGTACCGGAGTCAACTCTTGATTGATAGCTAGGATGGCGTTCCATGCTAGACGGGAAACACCAATCCCATAAGTCTGCAGTGGAACCTTCACTTTCCTGGGTCGTGTACCCGATCAGTGAACGCACCTTCTGCACCTCTTTTCTTGCAGAGCTCAAACCTCGGCAGCGCCCACATTGCCGCTGAACTATGCGCCTGAGTGGAACCGGCGAAGGCTCGCAAAACGAGCACCTTCCTTTCCGGGCAACCCGGTTTTCCCACGATTTTTGTTGAACCCACAGACCAAAAAATGTACCAAGGGCTCAAATCAGTCCCGGAAAGGCTGGATGTAAAGCTAGCAAGCATGGGTCCAGGAGCTAATGGGCAGTCGGCGAGAAAAGCGTCCAGACCTACAGCTACAATACGACTTCTGGGTCCGCCTTAACGTTGGTGATGCCTTTCGGCATAACTGCAATTACCACCTGTCAGGAACTATGTGTAAAGCTTCGGGTATCTCGGGGTACTGGAGGAAACATACTGCGCCCCAGTTACGCGACTTGGACGCGTGGGGCTGGACGCTTCATTCGCATTCAAATTGCCGCCCTCCGTTCTTCGCTGCGCTGGCCAAAAGTGAGCTGACCAGTGAAAGATGCATGACTACTCAAACCCATAGCATCCCATAAGCTTCCCTCCAATTGGTGGCTTGGTGGGGGTTTCCCATTCACCCTCTGCAGGCTGCACGAGTTCCTTAGTTGGTTTGGACTAGTGGTTTGGGTTACTGGGTAGTTTCAATCTACGCTTGACAACTAAACCACTACTCCAAACCACCCAACTAGTGAGAAGCTGAAACATTCTACCTTGAAATCCTCGGTTGAAACCCTTGCAATGCCTCCCTAAAGGGCGGTCTCACCTATAAAAGTGATCCGGATTCCCAACAAAGGGGGGCGCAGACTTGCTTGGGTCTTCATTGAAGACAAACACGTACACCAAACACACTTAGCCCCGCAAACAAAAAAAATAAACTTTTCGTATACCCCTCCTTTTTCGGCTTCCTTCCCACCTGCCAAGGGCTTGTGAGACTTGCCACCTCGCTCACTTTGCCTTGCGCTTCGGTGCAGGAAAGCGATCCTCGGCACGAAACGAAATGTTTACTCCACTTCCCGAGTCTGACCCGCCACAAGAAAAACAAACCTGAGACCCTCTTTGGAAAAACCGCTTAACAAACACATAGAACCCCCCCAAACTGTTTAGACCCCTTGCGTCTTCCTGATGCTTTCCCTGGCCAAGGTGAAGAAAGGTACACTCACAAAAATGCACCCATTTGGAGCCTCTGGGCGCAACTGGACCTTGATTAGACTACTCCTATGCCCAAGCCTTTGTGCAGAAATGGCAGACACTTGGACGAAACATGCCCGATTGACGCCAGTCTGGATAAAGCCTGGGTGTTGTCTAGGGGTCCCCATTCTTTCCAGGGATCCTTCTTTCTAGAAAACCTCCGGAAAACCAGGAAAATAGCTGGTTTTTGAAAAGAATGATGGTTAAAAAGAATGGTTGGAATCAACCCCTAGATGTTTGTTCATCTCATGGATCTTGCTACTGTGGCCGTGTGACTTGGAGTTGGTCCACCACCTCACTCCATTGCACCCTTTCCTGCTTTCGGTTTCTCTGAGATCCATCCATTCTCAATGCCCACAAGACCAAGAGTGGACGTACAGCTAAACTGGCAGGAATGATTGACGGACATGCATCATGGACGGAGAGCCCCAAAGCAAAACTCGAGCATGGTCGAGTTACCGTTGCTTTTTGAAGGGAAGCCAAAGGGAAACCGCCCGGTTTGCGGGCTCCCCGATTTCGACACACCCCAAGCACCCCACCCGGCGGTATCATTGGCCAGGGCGCCGTGCCAACATCGCAGCGCTTGAGCTCGGGCCGGTCCTTCCACCAGGAGGCGCCGTAGTTGTGCACCAGCTGCGTACCCGCAGGCACCGCCATGGTCGCGGTGTACTCCATGCCCCCGTAGTCTCCTGTTTTCTGGGTGAGGTATCCCGGCCACCAATCTCTGGCAACAAAGAGAAGCCTACCAACTAGCCAGCGCAACAAACCAACCAAAAAAGGGGAACCAAACCACGGTTCTTTCTTTGGTCTAGCAAACAAACCAGAAAAGGGGAACCAATCAACCACGAGAAAGGCTAAGAAAAGGGCATACGGTGAACGCCGCGCAAGGCCCCAAAGTCCTATGGCTTCTAAGGCCCCAATCCCAATCGGCGATTTGAGCCGCCAAGGCCTCGGGGCTGCTCGGGCTCCTTTTGTGTGCCTTGATATTGTTTGGGGGTCCAATTCAATTTGGGTGTCTTTATCCCTGTTTGCTTGCTTTTCAAGGGACACTCAGAAGACCGAAGCCAGGGTCCAACCAAAGCAAAACGACAGGCCCATTTCTCGTTGGGCCCGACCGACGACCCGGCCGAAAAGCTCGAGACACCCCCAAACCCGAAGTCGATCGAAACATCGCTCCGTCGCGTGCCCCGAAGGCGCGGTTGGACTGCCGGAGGTTCACCACCTCTTTGGGCCCGCAGTTGGCCGCGAACTGCAGCACCGAGCCGGGGCAGCCCGTGGGGTCGATGTACCCGTTCACCTGGGATCAAGCCACCATCTAGGTTAACAGAATTAGGAAAATCCCGAAGGGGATAAGTTTTCTGAGGTGTCCTTCAAAACGACTCAAAAAAGAGCCATGTATATGTATGTGCCTTTTTTGGAGGCCAACCTGTTTTAGGTGGACTTGACGGGATAATAGAAGTATCTCCACAAAACCGAAGGCACAGTTGGGGATGATTTGTCTGGAAGGTACGCTTTATTCACCTTGGTACATGTCTCAAAATTTCAAAAATCCCCACCCCCCCCCCCGCCCCGCGGAGGTGGTGGTTCCCTTGGCTTGCCATTCAACCCACCTCAATACAGACATACCCTCAAAAATCACACGACTTAACACCTTTTGTACGTGTTGCCCTATGTTGACACAACCCGCCCTTCCCAAACGCCATAAACAACACAAACAACACAAACAACCGCTGTTAGGATTGATCAAGGCACTCTCCCCTGACCGTCGGGGTAGAACCAAAGCGTGCGATCCTCGTCGGGATCCAACTCATCATCGTGATGAGTCCCTGTGGTCTTTCGGTGTCCGTGGTACACCATCCGGTAGCCTTTCGCCAAATTGAACCTGGGCTTTGCACTGCCACCCTCAAACTACCCTCAAAAAGGAACATCACCCAACATGTTTTGAGCAGAGCAACACATCTGCCTTTCCTTTTTCGCAGCCTGACCATGCTACAGCATCTTTGGCAATTTTACAGGAAACTCTTGCGAAGCTGATGGCTTCTGAAGGGAAACCGAATTGCTCAACAATCACTCCCCTACAAATTGATCATAAACCCCAAAAGGAGATGTCTTCAAAAAGGGGCGGTTCGGGTTCCATGCTGAACTGGGGACTACTTTTCGTACCGGCTCTCAGCAAACCCTTCAGGCAAACGCTGATTTCAGAGCGGTTGGGGCCCATGAAGCGGAGCGGTAGGAGTAAGTGGTGAACCTATCCGACAAGAAACAACCACAGGGCATAGTTCACAGTGTGGCCATAGGAGCAAGGGGCAGCCATTCTGGCAGTTATTCAACAAGGGGAATTTCTGGAAGATAAAGAAGCACCACAGTGGCATCATTCCGCCATTGCCTGCTAAGAACCAGCAAGAATATGGGTGTGTCTCTTTAGGGGACACCAAAGTTTCTTTGCTGTCCTATCAACAACCACAAAAGGGGGTACCAACTCAAAAAAAGCACGAGCCACCTATATGGCTGAGCCAGCTTCTAGCTTCTATCCCTTGAATCCGTCACCCCGGAAGTTGTAGGTTAAAGGGAAACCACCAACCAGTTTCTGACTTTAACTACCCAGAGAATCAGTGAAGACCCCAAGGGAACGCCACAGTGTTCAAATTGTGTCAGCCAGGCCATGGAAAGCCAAAACACACATGAAATTCACTGAACAAAAACCCTTCCAAACCGGGATTCTTTTCTCCGCTCCGTATTTGGTGTCCACAAAAAAAAAAAAGGTCCCCAATGACTCCCCTGCAGATGAACATGGCTTGCCCAAAAGGGGCGTCCCCAAAAAAAAGAGGTTCCTGTGCACATGGTTTGTTGGGTTCAATGTCAATCTCCAGGAGAGTACACCTCCCGCCCACATGTTTGTTGCACATGGAGGTGAAGCCAAACTGTCGAGAGTCACAAGTATCCGACCCTCAGTCTGATTTCTGATCGAAGCGACCTTGCCACCAAAATCTTGCCATAGCCCTTGGGGTGCTGGTACACCTGAATCCGAGGTGCGAATTGTTGCTCAGTCCCTTGCGGTGTTCCATGAATTCCATGAAATTCCAAACAAGGGGCCATCGAGGTGTGATTCTTCATTGGCGATTTGTTGGCGGGCATCATTTACAAAACGACTTCTGCTGCGAATTGCTGCTGAGTCCGCTCATCCACATCCCAACAACGGGCACCAACGGTGCGATTTTCCATTGGCGATCTGTTGGCGGGCATCATTTACAAAACGACTTCTGCCGGGAGGGCGGACCCTGATCTGAAGCTCATTGCCACGTTGAGGTAGTGTGGCTGGGTTCAACGAGGCTTCGGCGGCTCGCGCAGCAGCCACACATGCTCTGATGACGTGCCGAACCGTTTCAGTGCCACTTTGCCGAAAGGAACCTAGGGGCCAAAAGCATGAAGGACAACTGCCCGGTCATACACATGAACCGTGCGGAATAGGGCTTTGCGATGTGTTGTTCCTCACAGGCCACGAGTAAACACGTTTTTGCCACCAAATCAACATGCGCACACACACACACACACACGCACACATAGTAAAGCTTCCCTGTAAGAACGGGTGCCTGTGTGGAGGATGGCTGGGCGTCATTCCCTGGACTCTGGACTGGAGTCCTGATCCAGGGTACAGTACCATGGTGTAAACTCTGCCGCTTCTAGTCCATTGTCAGAGGCTAACGGCCATCCTGCAACAAGATAAGGGTGATGTGTCAATAACGGTGGTGTGTTTCTTGGGCACATGATGTGGCAAAAGGGTGCCATGTCACATGAGGCAAACCTGACCTGGTTTCCTCATGTTTCCTCATGCCTCATTCTCAACTCCAGTTGATTGGGACCCAAGTTGGAAACAACGGGATCCTCAGAACTTGAGGACTCAGTTGTTCAGCGACCCGGGAAAAAAAAGGGGGACCCTTTTTGGGGAAGACAACTTTTGAGTGGGGAAGCCAGCAAAAAGGGAAACAGGATGCCACTGAACTGAGAGGAATGCACCGCTCGAGTCGAACTTGCGCCTTCAGTGCCCCATCGCCAGCGCGGAGGTGCTTCCGGCAGTAGGGCATCGGTTGACCTCTCTTCTGGGGCCTTACGGAGAAGGCAACCGTCGGAGTGTGCAACTGGGAAACCAAAGCGCGGATACGGATGCCAATATGTGTATATATATATAATGTATACATAGATGGGAAACTCGGTAAATTCCCAAGGCGTTGGTTTCTTGCAACAGGGCATCCGCCTCACAGAAAAACCAGCGAACCAGCGAACCTTCCACAGGACACTGGCCAAGCGCCCACCGAGTCCAGATCTTCCACTGAATGTCCTTCCCTTGGCTTGTGAGATAGCCACCCAAGGCCCAAAAACACCAACAATCAGATGGTCTGATTCTGTGTTGCATTTACTCCACTTTGAAATGTTGAAAAATACTGACAAGTGCCCTCATTTTTCGATTCCGCTTTGTACTGAGTCAACCTTGACCAAAAACGTAACCTCGGCGAAAGACCCACGGCTCCTGCAAATTGACATGGAACCCCAAGCACTGGTCAGCTTTTAGAGGAAGCTTCTTGGGAGACTCAGTTGTTCAGTGACCCTGGACAAAAATGGGAACCCTTTTTGGGGAAGATCATTTTTAGTGGGGCAGCCACCAAAACAAAAGGGACAAAGGGTGCCACTGAACAACTGAGGAGATCACTTTTTGGGGCTCCATGTTGAGCAAACTAGGCGACCAATCAACTCATGCGAGCCGTAGATCCGCACCTAAGTTACTAAGGATGAATCGGGCCATGTCTGGTTTCCCGCACCAGAAGAGGAAACCCCTCTTCTGAAACCAAACAAAAAATAAGCCCGGGGTTTTTCCCCAGAACCCCTCTCCGGAGCCGATCTGGGCCTTTTGACCCCAAAGCTTTCAGCCACGAAAAAAACAACTCAAAATGGCTGATCCTTCCAAAAAGGGAACTCGATGGACCCCCACAGCATGAATACAAATGGCACTATTCCTTTCATGTCCGTTAAGCAAAAGAGATAACACCTAAGTTGGGGAGGTTGCACCGTCAACTTGCACTTGAACTGTAATTGAATCTCTACCCACATGGAAACCACTAAGGCACCTTCTAAAACACTCTCAAAGCACAGTATTCCAGGAAACCCCGTCAGGCTCCATGTTGGCTTCTCGCCGAGTGTCTCAATTCGGCCGTTGCACCGGCGCCTTGGGTGCACAAAGCATCCACTAGGTGCAACCTACTTCACTAGGTACCGGGACCCGCAAACTAGCCTCGGTTGCGAAATCTGCGAAGCCCTGCTAAAAGTGACTAACTTTCAGTGCTTCAATGGAACACCCCTTAGTTGGCAAAAAGCTAAAGTCCGAACATCCACGCAAAATGCACCAAAGTCACCCATAAACATGGGGACAGTGCCCCAAATTAGGTTGTGATGTCCCATGATCAAGGCGAGTTTTCTCGGGCCCAGGTGGGTGATGTAACCATGGTTTGAAGCGGTGTAAGAGGGGCTGGCCGACTAACCATGGTCCCAATCTACTGAGCTTGTGCATCCAAGAAGACTCGGCACATGTCCAGGGAGAAACCCACAAAAGGGTAGACCGAAACATCCATTTGCTGAAGTCCGAGTCCTGGATGTTTTTTTGTCAGCAATGGATTCCCTTCAAAAACCGACAGGGGCAAATAAAAACATGTTCATTTCAGCAAATGGAAGACAAGAAGTATAAGTCCTGGGTTTTGGGGGAGTTCCTGGTTTGTTGGGGCCTATATTAACCTGCAGAGTATTTCTGAGCCAACTCGTGAGAAGGGGGGGGCTGTTCTGAAAGGGACTGTAGGATGTATATGGGGGACCCTGGCAAATAGCTTTGGGATTTCCATGAACAAACATATCTGGGGTGGCCTTGCCACGTCGGACCATCGAAAATGGCCATCCGTGAAGTTGACCTGGAAGAAATTATACACTAGCTTGCAGCTCTCTTATTTGAGCATCGCCCAAATCCGAAGGCTCCCCAAACAGGGCCACCATGCGAGTCTTGGCTCAAACCATGCCAGGGGTACCAAAAGAACTCAAACCAAGCACCACGCGGGAGCGGTCAATCATCGCGTTCCCTCGTCATTCCCGTAGAAACAAATGCTTGAGTAAAGCGCAGGGCCATGTTAAACACGATAGGAAGCCACCGCAAACTGGCCAGGCTGGATGTTGGACACGACTCCCTACCTAAACGACGTCCACCAAAGGGTCTCCCCATTAAAATTCATACCCAAATGGCTGCTGCTGGACTTGACTCCAGGAAAGTTCCGTGCCGAACGGCCCGTTGGTGCAGTGAGCGATGCATTGAGCATCAGGCTTCCCGTGCGGCTTCTTCTGCACGGTCAGCGTCGGCGCACGTTTCCTGGGATTCCCCCAGCTTCGCGGGTGGAGAAAGGGAACACTTTTTGGGGTCAAACACATGCCTTGATCTTCCAGGACCCTGAAGATCAAAATCAAGAGACCAAGGATGTTTGGTGTTCAACCCACCCAACCAAAAACGAAAGGGTATTCAGAAAACACGTTTTGGGATCAGACACACACCCAACAACAACACAAAAGGGTGCAATTCATTGAAGAACTGACCCTTCGGATCCCTTGTGGGTGGACCCAAACAAGCTGACACTGAGCACTTGGACCGAGCGCCGGGGTTGTCAGCCCAAAGTGCAGGGCAGCTTGCAATAAGCCGCCCAGGCTTCGCCAGGAATACTGCAGCTGTTTTGCATGATCCAACCAAGAAACAACACCACTCCTTGTGCGTTCCATTAAGGAAACCAGCATTCAACTACGGCCTATCCAGCACCCGGACCTGTTTGACCATGATCCGCTTTGAGAGGACACAAGTCCAAAACCCCAGCATTAGGGAGTAGCAAAGTCTGCCGCCCCTGAACCCACATTTGGGGTACACAGAAAGTAACATGTTCACATGAAGTTTTCCTATTTAGTCTACCCTGAAATTTGGAGGAGTCCTCTGATAGGTCAATTGCGAGAAAGTCTCAGAAAAGCAACCCTAGCACTCTTGAGATCTGCCCTGGGCAACAAATCTAATTGGTTGCAATATCAACGCAAGATCCAAACATGTTCTGGAGCAGCTAGGGAAACGGTGCATGCGCTGAGATGTTGCCAGGGAACACCGGGAACCCCTGTAATTTTTCCCATGTTTTTTTTTTTTTACCCATGCCCAACCTTTCGGGCCTCCGAGGCTGCCAGGACTAAACCACCCACACCAGCCCGCCAGCCCGGCCTCTTTGCGTTGGGCATACGTCCCATGGCGACTCGGCCAATCCGCCGGAGGACATGCAATGAGACTCGCGCCCCGAAGGCCATGAAACACATGCGCGCTAATACGGCCTCTCGGGTTGAGTGCGGACCATTCCCAGTACTGGGCGTCTATACAAACCCCCAAAAAACACAACGGTTTTATAAAACCCCATGCGGTGCTTTTCAAAAGAAAGCAACAATAAAGCGAGGTACGGCTGAATTTGTGGCGTGTTGTTTTTTTTCTCGCGATTGATCAGGCTCCATGGCGCACCTTGCTGTGCCGAAACGTCTTCCCATCGGGCACTCATCGTGCTGTGACCCGAGACGCTGTAGCTCAAGCTGGCAATGACCCTATCCTCACTGGCTGAGTGGATGGCCCCTTTATATTTACCTGGAGTCTCCATGACCCTTTAAAAATGGGTCCATGACCCCTTTATTTTGGGTAATGACCCCATTTTTAAAGGGTCATGGAGACTCCAGGTACCACTAAAATGGTCTTCCCAAAAAGTGTTTAAAGTTCATGAGCTCCGGAAGTGAGTATCAGCGCCCAAGAAATGGCTGGTCAAAAATGGGCGATTAGCCCAAAACGGGCCCTGGTAAATGGAACCAAGGACTAAAACCTGCGGTCCCTGGTGGTTAAAATTTGACCCCAATCTTGACTTCAAATGGTCCATCCAAGTGGCATCCCCAAATCCACCCTCTGAAAAATGGGCTCCTTTTCAACCACAATTTCAGAGTAGCTTGCAAGGGACTCCCCAACAGCAAGCAATTCAGAGAAGCCCCCAAACCTGTTCACCTTGACACTCCGTTTCCTGGAGCTCAATGCGCGGGAGTGTCTCCAAATGGTTTCGCCTGTTTGCCTGTTTGATGGGAAACCCGAAATACCGGCTCAAACATGGGCCACACCAAACATGTGCGGTTGGAAACGGCAGCAGGGCAGGCCTTTTGAGACACCGGCCTACCGGGGCAGCCGGCCCAAGGATTTGTGCCGACCGTTTTAGAGGGCCCTTGCTTTGACAGACACCCAAATATGTTTGGCTCATTGCTCACTGTCTGCCGATATGATCACGTTGTCCTTGTAAGTTACTCGATCAATGATCCAAAGCGAGAAGCAATTGGGATTTGTTCAGGTGCTCGGAATTGACCAATCGCCGGTCAGGTCATGTGCTTTTGTGGGCCTCAAAATTCCTGTAGGAGCACAACATCCTCCTTGATTTGTTGCTGGTCATGGTGTTTACATCCCATGTTTTGGCGACCCATGTTTGAGACCCCCAACAACTAGGCTCCTTCTTGTTTTCTTTTTGTAAAACCAATCCAAACGGTTGGGCTCCCCACACAAAAAGAAGACGAACATCAAGGTTGGGCTCCCCCTCAAAACAAGAGAGAAGAAACAACAGCAAACCTACAACAGGTTGGTTGGCCTCAAACAAACTAACTCAGACAAAGAAAGTTTGTTTTCTCAAGGAAAATCAACAGTTTACCCGGCCGAAAAAAAGGAAGAAGAAGAGTTAGTTGAGGGGCAGGAAAACAAAGGCTCCGGACCCCAAAAAGTTAGCTTTGTTCAGCTGGAAACTCACCTTTTGGCCTCCAGAAAGGAAAAAAAGAGAAAAACAAACGGAGAAAAAAAAGAAAAGAAAAAAAAACAGCTCGATCCTCGAAGCCCCACACGGCCCATGTTGGCCCATTTGCGGTTCCGCGCCTGCGTCCAGCTTTGTGGATAGCAACTCTTGCGTCAGGCCCTGGCTCGCGGAGGGAAAGACGTGACGGCGAAGCGGACTTGAGGGGTTCTGTGGACGAAATCCAACCGCACCACTTTGAAAAACCATGGAAAACCATTGTTGGGCTTTTGTAGGGGAATCCTAAAGGAATTCCAGGGTTCCTTTGTTGCTCCAGACGGGTTCCTTAGTTTGTTGGAATTTATCGGGGGATCATGAATTCCAGGGTTCCTAAAGTAATTCAAGGATTTCGTCCAACCACAGTATGGTTGATGAGGCCCAGTGGATCCCAAAAATCCGAGCTCAGGCGCCCTCTGCAGCATCTAGGTTCTCCAGTAGAGAGGTTAGAATTCGGGTACCGACGTTTTTCTCTGTAGTCTATTTTTGTAGGGGGAACCCTCCCAACCAAAAAAAGAAACGGTAAAAGGGCACCAATTGCTGGGGGACCTAGGCATGTAACCCTTCGATCCATCTTCCTTTTGGAGTGTTTATATCGGGTTATCGGGTGGAGCAAGCCCTGGGTTTCCCAGGATGACCAACAAAGGGAGGCCCTAAAATGTCCTCCAAATCTCTCGGAGACAGGCGTGAGCCCCTTTGGGCTCTGCGATGGAGTTCACACGTGGCACGGGTTGATCTGCCAGTTTTCTATGAGGGGAGCCTTCTGTGCCATGGAATGGGGCTCGTGCATATGGGAAAGCATTTTGTCTTCCTTAGGAGGGCCGGCAACACGAGAGTTGGGTAAGTAACCCCATGTCCTGCTGGTAACTTGGTGGGTGTACCCCATGCCATCCCCTTTCCTGCCAGTAGAAAACGGTACATATTGAACGTTGCTCATATTCATATGTGCTGCTCCAAACCCTAGACCACGGCTACAAGTTTGTTCAGGTCGGCGTGGCAGGACATGGGATGGACCCCAAACGGTGGGAGGCCCCAAAACTGCTTTCCTCATGGCTTCCCTTTCGCCCATACACACGACAATCTCGAGCGGCTTCATTCGAATACAGAGTGCCGTTTTCAAGAAACCATGCGACGAGTCTACCAATGACGTGGAATTCGGCTACCCAGAGCTTCCGGAGATCATTGAAACTTCCTAAAAGAGGTCTGGTCACAAAATGGCTCGCATGCCTTTCAAGCGCACCCAGTGTAAGGGTGGTTTACGGTTGGGTGAAAGTAGATAGCAACAATCTCCCGCAGATCGGTTTTGTCATTTCCCTTACTCAGCCACATAACGGAAAGTAGTCCTTGGCCGTCATCTGGGATATGTCACACTTCGTCTCCCCCGAAAAAAGTAAAACTTAGTTTGGAAGAGAGCCCAGCCAAAAAACGGAAACACCGCGCCGCTTCTGGGGTGAGCTTCAGCCATTTTGTCCCAACCTGCCTCAATGCCGGCGCTGGCCTGGGCCATTTGGCTCTCCACCTGAGATTCGAAAACCTGCGAAATGTGGGGGTTTTGAGGCTACCTCATGGGGGCTGAAGGGGAGGGAGGGGAGGGAGGGGAGGGAGGGGGAGGGAGCCCCAAAAAAAACCTTATTTGGCCTTATTAAGGCCTTATTTAGGGCTTATTTGGGCTCCCTTCCCCTCCCCTCCCTCCCCAGCCCCCATCAGTACCATGAGGGTAGCATTTGGGCATGGGGCAAAATTAAACACTAGGGGGCCAGTGGTTTAGTGCTTATTTCCCATTTTGGTTCCATTTTCGGCACACAATTTGGACCCACAGCATTTGTTCGCTTCAGGTTGACTTTATTTTGCGGCTTGCCCCTTTTTGTGGGGGTCCAAGCCCCTACTTTGTCACATAGCCGGGTCTGAAGACGGGGCCTGGGTTGCCGTGTTTTTGCGCACCAAACTCTCGGTTCTTGCGGGGGCAGCTGTCCGCAAACTGCTTTTTTTTGGCAGGGCGAGGTGCGAAAAACCACATCCTCACTTCCTTAGTGGATGGGCCAACCAAGAATCCAAACTTGTTGCTTACCTATAGTCTCCATGACCCTTCAAAAATGGTTGGTCATTACCTAAAAAACTGGGGTCATGGACCCATTTTTGATTCGGGTCAGAAGGAGACTCCAGGTAGCACTAAAATCTGCCCAGAAAGTACTCAAGTCCACGAAGCTCACTTTCAGGTATCCCCCTCCCTCCACTAAAATTCGCTAGAAAGGCCAACCCCCCCCAACCCCAAAGGACCATGACGTCAAAGTCAGCTGCCTTACATGCGAAGGGCTCTCGCCTTCTTGGCCAACCTTCTTGGCACCAGATTAGATGTTGGTGTCATTTTTCCCCTGCAACCAGTGCTTTAGATCCCTTTGCGAAACTGTCCAGAAAACATAGGGGCAATTGAGAATCCAGGTACACCCCGAACTACCTTTAGTCTAGCCAAGGTATACTTCTACCCTGAAATCGTTTTGGAGACCCCATATCCACAACATCCCATGTCCGATCGTCCGATCAAATTGCCTCGCTGCAGCGCTTGTTCAGCTCCGCCATCTTAGTAGAGCTCCGCGCCTCTGAAACTCGATGCTTCCCAGCGCATGGGGTGGGATCGATCGATTTTCCCCGAGCAAAAGCGGTGACCATGGACAACTTGGTTGGCAAGTTTGGGCGTGATTCTTGTTGTTTTGTTAGGAGTGGGACCCCGCCAACGTGCCTGCGGTGCTCTTGTTGTTGTCCCTTTCAAGCCACCAAGAAAGTGGTGCCAGCTCACTAAAGCCACACCCACTAAAAGGTTGAGTGTGTACCACTTAGATTGCATTGGTAACGAAATGAAAAACACAGCTCTGCTCTTGTCATGTTTTCTGAAAGATTGCGAGTGGGGAACGAGGGTGTGAAGCCATATGTTCCTAGCACATGACTGAGAATGACCTCAAAGATGACTGGGAATTCCCCAGCAGAGCGGATGATTGATGTGACCTTGAAAACTGAGAAAGCCTACAATCAGACACAGGCGCCCCCCAACTTGCCTGCGTTTTCAACCAAAATTCCCTTGGGACGGCAACCAAAAAGGCAGTGGTTAGTGGTGGGACCCGGCTCGGCTGGCATCCAACGCGTGCCCTTATGCCTTCCGTAAGCGCGAGAACCCACGTCACACAGAGTCCCAGCTGGCTGTGGTTGCCTTGGTGTGTCTTCTTCTTTCGGTGGTTTGTCTGGGAAACCAAAAGGACAACCCGCAACTTGGGGAGGTCCCCTAAAAAAATGACACACCTTTATTCCATGGGCATAAAATATCACTAGCAGCTCATGCCACTTGGCGCAACGGCCCACGTGACGTCACAAGGCGGGGCACCTTTCTGGGGTGTGAGAAAACGGACCACCAGGCAACCGGCAATTCTCGAGACAAACCCAGCTCTGTCGCCCTT